TACGAAAATATTTTTGAAAAAACTATAATTTATATGAATCTTCTTCGCTACATAATAAAACAAAAAGATGAGAAAATGAGACATGCACTGTTTTACAGAAAACAACTTTCTTTTTATCGATATAATTTTTATTTATGATTGCAATATCAGTTTTAAATGATCATATTTCAATAATTTTAATAGAAAATGTGTGCACAATATGAAACAAAATGAATTTTTGTTTTTGCATTCTTTTATTTAATACAGTATTATTTGCACGTCAAATAGAAAAGTAATTTAACACAATGTGCCATTAAATAAATAGAGAACTGATATGAAATTATAAAATAAAAATTAAATAACGACATTAACTAAAACCTAATACAAAACAATGAATTATGCATTTAATAAAACATATATACATATAAAGCATACATAAAACAAACAACATTTCAAGGCATCCTATTTAAATCTTTAATTATAACGATTTAAAAAAAAATTATTTTTAAACTATGATAGATATAATGGCAAATATTTATAAAATCAAACTGTATACTTAGCAAAACATGCCTGAAACATTAGAGGTATTATTTGCTCAAATAATGAATTTGGTTTTTTTTTTGGATATCTAAAAAAAAATTTAGTTTTTCTGATCATCAGCTGATTTTTTTATTATCCATGGGCTATATTTTCAATTTACTGTTTTAGTTTTGAATTTATATAAAAGTGAAAATGAGTGGAAATTGAAAATATAGCTCCGGGATTAATAATATGTACTACTACTGTTTGAATATTATTAATATATAAAATATATCCCAACTTTTTTTTGTTGAACGTTTCACGAACAACGATTTGAGCTAAGAGGAGAGTATCAGTAGTTCGAAAAATGTATTTTTGCGTTAAACGGTTTTAGTTTTTCTTGGGAAATTATTAGTGCCGGTCGGTACTCAACCCTAACCTGTCCATATATTAAAAAAATTTTGTCTTACACAATAATCCAAAATACCCTGTAGTAAGGTTGACTCTCAATATGAGGTTTTAAATATTTATTAAGAATCAATAAATTACTAACAATTATGTTCTGTTCAGTTTTGTTCT